TATATGCTAGTGAATGTGCTTCTTTACTAGTTATATGTTCGCTCTTTGTACTAATCTTTTTGTTGAAGGAAAAATGTTTATTTGGTTATGCACATACAAAAACTTGTATAATGGTTTTATCGTTATTACAGTACTATGCTAGTTCACAGTATTGTTGATGCAAGTGCAGGATCTGAGGCCTTCAGTTTCTGAGAGTTTATTTCAAATAAAATCAATAATGACGAGTCATGAGAAGTTACAGTCTTGCTTGAGGAACAAAGTTAGAGAGCTCGACGATGAGAAGGTATGATATTTCTACTTTTGGATATTTGAAAAAAATTGCTCACTTCTGCATAACTGAAGTTTGTCCACATTTCTTGTTGAAATATAGCTTCTTCTTTTCAATCAAGCTTCAGATCTTCGGAGCCAGATAGAAGAATTAAGTTTAAAGGTTCAAACTTCTGTGAGTGCATTTGCTGTAAGTTACCTTACCTTCTTTTGCATGTTTCTTGTCAGCTTAGTCCAATTTTGATACTATCAAATTTTTATTATTTTATTTTTTTTGTAGGAGCTTAGCACGGAACATGAAATGCAAACTTCTGATTTCCTTTCTCAAATTCGAATTCTCCAAGAGGAAATTTTATCGTTATCATCTTGTTCCTTGGCTAAGGAAAAGGAAAGTTTGCGGAAAGATTTGGAGAAAACAAAAGCAAAGTTGAAAGATACAGAATTCAAGCTCAAGAATGCTGTTCAGGAGAAAACAAAGCTGGAGGTCTTATACCTTTCATGTTTTGATTTTCATTTTGTGTTTCATTTGGATCTCACTGTCACAAATGCATTTTACCAATACCAGGGTGAAAAGGCACGTGCTGAGAGAGAAGTTAAACTCTTGTTTGGCCAGAAGGCTGTGCTTGAACGTGATATGAGCAAACGTGATTCTGTTGTTGGTAGGAGGCGTGATTCCGTTATTGATAGGAGCTCTAATGCTTTTGAACATAAACGAAATAAGGGGCTTAGTATGTTGGCTGAACAAGCAATGCAGGTAAGGATTGGTAAATTTGGATTGGCTTATAATAGAATTATAAAAATTCTTGAGTTACATAGTACTGTTGTCTTTGGCACATCAAAGTCAGGGGCTGGTCCTTCATAAAAAAATAAAAATAAAAATAAATAAAAAAGAAAATGTAAAAAAGAAAGAAAGTAGAATTAGTGAAGATGATGATGATCAAAGAAAAATATGTTTGGACGTGTAAGAGGAATAAATCAATGCATGAATGTTTTAAGAAACACGTCTCAATCTTGCGAATCATATTTCCTATTTCTGTAAAAATCAACCATGGCAACAAAGATCAGAAGTATTTGCCTACTTATGAATTTTTTAACGACAATTGTTGTGGACACAAATTAATTATAAACTGTCCTATCTCTGATATTATTTTGGCTTCATCATGAACATTTGATGCTTGTTTAACTTATAATGAGATATCCAGAGCTAGAGTTCTTAGTCAAGAATGAAAATTCTGGTTGTTTTACATAGTTTTTCCGAATAGTTGAGCGATCATGATACCAAGTGAAGTATGCTTAGTTGAAAATGAATGGTCTATGGATGGCATGGCAGCTATACATGTTAAACTCACTTCATTTTATATATATTTTTTCCTTCTAAAAGTTTTTCCCCTTTAAGGTTTGGAGTGGCTTCACTTTTGCACGTTGCATTCCCCTTGTCTGACACTTGTTCAGCTTTGAATTATGCTTTTCTCATTCTTCCTAGATATTATCAATAAATCATTGCTGTTCCTGGACGAAAGTTATTCTATTGCAGTTTTTACTGCTTATAATTGAAACTATATATTTTTAATTTCCTTTTGCTCAGGAGGATTACAAGAGGCTGGAAGTGCTTGCATTCGAGATGGAAGCCACTATTGCATCTTTGGAAGAGCAACTATCAATAGCACATGGGGACAAGGATGTAGCCACTTCGAGATCTGAAACTTTGGCTTCTGATTTGAAAGAGTTGTCTGACGAGTTGTATGATACAAAGTCAAAATTAAGTACCTTGAAGGAAGAGGTTTCAGCCCTTGTAAGGATTTCTTAGTTATCTTAAATTCACATGTTCAGAATTCCTTGTATATGGCTGGAAATACTTGTTTTCGTAAGGCTAGCAGGTTCTGCTGCCTATTTTCTCAATTTTCTCCTATATATTACTTCAGAGTACAACTTTGGACGAATCTGAATTGCAGAGGCAGAAAGTAGAAAGCTCTCTTACCTCTTTGATTGAAGAAAAAGAAGAGTTGTCAATGGTACTGAAAATGAATAGTGTAGTTTCACAAATTCCTGTAGCTTTCGTATTGATTCCTGGTTTTATCCCTCTTTTTGGTTACAGCAACTTGCTGAAGCCCTTTTGACAATGGAGGAGGAGAAGGCATTATGGTCATCAAAGGAGAAAGCTTCAGTTAAAGCCATTGAAGAAAAAACAAAATCATATCATTCTGAGATTGCCTTGTTATCGAAAGAATTGTCAGAGGTGATCTTCCAAAATTATGTAGATTATTTGTTGAATGTTATCTGAAAGTTTATTATTATTATTTTTAGAATTAAGTTTTTGTACCCCGTGAGGCTTTTGTTCTTTAGATGACATTAACATGTGGACAGACAAGTTTTTATGACTAGTGGCCTTGATTGCTCTCTTGGTGGCTATAGTGAGGATCATAAAATGTGTTGAATTCATGTAGTAACCGAAAACAGTTGGTTCCAGTTGAATGAGTTGTATATATCTTATTCAAAAGAGGACAGAGGGAGCCAGTTCAGTCCACATGCAGCCTTCTGTATAATCCTTTCTCGTTGACTTATATGGTTTCATAACTTCAATTACCTTCTAAAAAGATATTCCTAACATTTCTGCCATTTTTGTCTTGTATGTGTCCTGAGCATACATGATTTCAGCTTATCAAATTTTTAAATGAAACTAAAGGTATATACTTCGCCCAATGCTTTCTCTGTTCTGTGTTTAACTAAGTGCTTTAAGGGATTTCTTTGTTGACTTATATGGTCCCATTATATATCAAAAGATATTCTTAACATTTCTCTTTTTTTATTATATGTGAGCGTACATGATTTCAGCCAATTAATTATCACATGTTTTAACTAAACTGAATTGCTATAATTTGCCCAAGGCTTTGTTCTGCATTTATGCTAAGTTCTTTAAGGGATTTCTGTTTCTTTCATTTTAATCCATCATATACATGTTATTTCCTTAAATGTTTCTTTTTGCTATGCTAGAGCATCGTTGACACAATCCAAAAATTTCTTAAAATTGCGATCAGGCTTACCCCCAGTTCAGAAAACAATAGCAGTTGTGCTTCCAAAACCATGTTTATAACATGATGTAAAAATGATGAAAAGCTGACGTTATGTTCTTTTGATTTTTGTAAAATTTTAGGTATTATGTTCATTTACTCTTGCTCAAAATTTGATAAATATTTAACTGGTTGAATTTTAGCCCCTCACCCCCCAACCCCCAATGGGGGTGTTGAAGTAATCATGGAAACTGGTTTGCTAGAAAACCAATGGACATGATAACAGATCAGAAGCCATCCTCGAAAAATTACTAAGTTATATTTAGTGCACGTTTGAGAAATATTATAGTTTTCTTATAATTTAATGGTCAAAGTTAAACATTATTTTTAACCACACACATTTCATAGGGTTTCACAACTTTTACCCATTTGTCCATTACTCATTTCCATCACGTTATACTTTTAACCAAACAAGCACTACTTGAGAGCATAGCCATCTATACAGGAAGTTCTATTTCTTGAAACATTCTTTCTTCTCTCTGCAAATGCCATCTTGTAAGAGAAGGTGTAGAATATTTTATTTGTTTCCATTAAAATTCATTTCAAAAGTTTGTTGTGTACTCTTCATCTTTACTCACTACACGACTATTAAGAAACATCCCCGTGTTTTCTGGCATGGCATGGTTTCAAGTGATCTTTCTAATGAATGAGAGATTTTATATTATTATTATTATTATTTATATTTTCTCATTTTTGCATATAATAGCGAAATGCTTATATTGGTTCACGGCAAGAATTGGCTAATTAAGTCTCACTTTTATAGCAAATAACTTTTGAAAATGATAATAAATTAATAATTATATTTTTTCATGCCCAACTTCTTCCGTATCTCAGAATAACCGCTTGTTTATTTATATTTTCAGTTGTTGGGGGGAGGGTCGAGGTGTGGGGACAAATTTAGTCAATATATGTAGTACCCAATGATTAAAGAGGTTTTCTGAAAATTAAAAATAACAACAATCCACTGATATCAGCTAGAAGAGAGAAACACGTGTGTTGAATACAGTGTTTGTATTTATAATTGCATACAAGTAAATTTTTTTGCATAGTCTGCAAGATGATAGAAGTTAACTACCTTGTTGCATATCTTCTAGTATAAACTCAAACTTCAGATTCCATATAGTTTTCAATGTATTAAACACGGTTTAAATATTGTGACAGCCCTAATTTAATGTTGAGAAAATCACACAACTATATGATTTGTTTGTGCATGACTGGCATGTGATTTGTTCCATTGAGAAAGCAAATCTCATTTGCTTTCTTGTTCATTAGCATAGCTTAATGCTGTTTCTTCGTTGAGAAAGCAAATATCATTTCCTTTGTTGTTCATTAGCATAGCTTAATGCTGTTATTGGTGACCTGAAACTGTAATTTCTTTAGTCCAGGACTAAAATTTCAGACAGAAAATAGTTTATCGAAATTATTAATTAAGTACAAATAAAAGTAGCATCAGTTAGAGTAAATGTTCCTAATAACTTTACAAGATATACTAGTTCATTAAAGTTTATGAGAATTCCAAAATCGTTAATAAGCATTAAGTTCTCTTATCTCCGCTATTATTCATCATCAGAGGCCAATTTTCATATCTCAAAGGAATGACGAATCTTAGTTTGGTAAACATTTTGGCATTTAAGCATTTTTATTTTATCACGAGATTTCAGTTAGTATACCCCAGAACTCTGTACAAAAAGTACTTTACTGCTTCAAGAAGAATTTTTCACACAGTGCTGATTTCTCGTCTCTCCAAAACAGCAAATTGCTAAATCACCTTTTTCCATAGGGATTATAGTGTTTCCAGGCAGTATTGTCTGCTCTGAAGTGTTTACTGAAATGTGTTGTTTACTATGAGTTGTTTTTGAAGTGAGTATTTACTTTTCTATTGTTTGAGAAAGGTTAACTTCCTCATTTTGGGAATAATTTTGTACTATTAGGTAAAGGATGCACTGGAGATTTGTAGAAAAGAATGCAAGGATCTTAGTGTACGGCTGACCATTTCTGAGGAAAATGCGATTTTCGAGAACCAGTGCAGGTTTCTCTCCCTTTTTATCTTCTGTAATTATTCGAAGGATACAAATGAATTGATTTTATCCTATATTACTGGCTTGTTAGAAATATATTAATAAGAAATACTACCAACTTTTGTCTTTGCCCCATCCTCTACATTTAGCCTTGCACTTCTACTCTTTTTTAACAAAACACTTGATTACAGTTCTGAGAAATCATCAGAGATTGACCACCTAAGAAATGAACTAAGGGTTGCTGATGAAATTAGCAAAATGTCACAAGAGGTAATATTGTATCTTCTTTGGTTATTCCTATCGTAGCGTAGAATTTAACTTTAATTGCTTTTACATGGCTGCCAATAATTTCCATTATTGATATTCTGAAATTTACATCAGAACTTAAAGTATAAGGAAACAGTCGAGGAAGTTGAAAAGCTTCAGATGGAATTGAGCGTTTTTAAAGAAGAAAGAGAATATCTTTTAGGCCGGGTACGGGAACTGGATGCAAGAGAAATTCTGACGGATGAACACCAGGTTTACATAATTATATAATTTCCCATTAACAACATGCTTGCATTTTGTTTTTGCAATTGAAAATTGAGAAGTCAAAAGTAATTTTACACTTGCCTAGGGTTTTGCAATAAATACTTTTCCTGTTTTCCTCCCTTATGCAATGCATTAGATTTAAGATGCTGACTAATGATGACACTATCTTCCTGCATCTGGGTTATAACCTATGGATGATGATAATTGATTGTTTTGACCCACAGCTATTGAAGTTAAAGTGTGAACTGGAGGAGCAGAGTGGAAAACTTGCTAATTTGGAGGTCAAGATGCACAATGTAAGGAATCCTGTACCTGATACTTGTCCCTTATTGTTTTGCAAGGAAAAAAATCTTTTCTAATATCGTACAGAACCGCAAGTCACTCATAACTTGCAAAATAAGTCAATCAGATCCCATGTTATTAGGTGGTAATAAAGCCTATTTGAATCGTGACTTTCCTCTTTAAGCTGATAAGCCATTCTGGCAAGTGTTTAGTTGGACTGTGTTATATTTTTTCCAGCAGCTGATGATGTTAAAAGAGCGTCCGGGTTCATCCCCATTTGAACCCAGATATTATGGTTGTCAGTCGCAGCAATTTGATGGTTTTAATATCAAAAAAATGTTTACTCAATATTACAGTTTAACTACTTGTCAGCGGACAACTTCTATTGTCATTGTTATTTCTCCAACTTGCAGCCCTTGGCTCATGTTTGATTGATTCTCTGTCATGCTTCATGTTCATGATTTCAATATATTTCTTTCATGTGATGTAGCATTGATCCTTGTTACCTGTCATAGAATTGATATACTGATTTTGTTTGAATTATAAGAATTAAATTCCACTATTTTCCTACAACTGAGAAAAAATGATTTTATGCTGTATTTAAACAGGATCAAATTAATTATAACAAGGAGAAGGCCAAACTCAGAATGAGACTCAAAGGAGCACAAACAAAATTAGACACATTTCGTGTTAGATACAAGGAGTCAGTGGACGAGTTGGATTACATGAATAGGAAATACGATGAAGCTTCAACTGTACTGAAGAAACAATTAGCTTCGTACGGTATTGAAGTTCTAAATCTCAAGAAACAACTAGCAGCTGTAAAGGGGCCGTGAAATTTCAGGTCTGTCTTTTTGTACATCATCGTCCCTTTTGCAGATTAGGACATGTTTGGTTAGGTAGATTAAATTGCAATTGACAAAATTAAAAAAATAAAATTGTACAATCATGTCTAATATTGTGTATTAAACGTTGCGTCTATATGTTATTATGTATACAGCAGCAGATAAATTCTAGCGTTCTAAACATGAAGCCACATAATTATGGCAAGTGTTATAAGTCTCTTTATTTCAATACCTGAGATGAAATGTGCTGGTAATTTCAGTGGCTTCTTAACAAGGACAAGGCAAGTTGGATTATTCATTCGAATTTATATAGCTGTTTTGGAGGTTAAAGCGAGAACATAATTTTATTTTTATGGTTATGAAGCAGAAGAACGTGTTGGTAAAAAGTAAGCTAATCTTCGTAGTAATTCTGGTGTCTATTTTATGCTATGTTGTCAAGATATCACGTCCAGAGTATTGCGGTGTACCATTCTCAAGTAAGGCTTGGGTTATTAAGCTAAAATTTAACTTTTTAACTTGTAAAAATGACTCTTTGTTGTGAAGAGAGCTTTGAGGCCTAAAGCTGGGCTTGCCAAATGATCAAGTTGGGAATTTGAATTTATTTTGAAGGTTCCTATCAATGGTAGTGTTATTCATAGTCAGCGACTCCAATAATGATCATACGTGACATAATTTTAGCGATTACATCATGGGAATATTTGTAATAATCTTTTTTTTTTCTTCTAATTATTAAGATAATGCCACATTACATTTCTTACATAGAATGACTATTATAATTGGACTATGAATAGCATTATTTCCGAAAAATACCCACTGGCACAAGCAGCTTAAAAATACAAATTATTTGTCAGTTAACCATGAAATTTAGAAAATACTACTAATTTGTTGCATCCAAAAATCTTCGACCTGGATTTGCACTCAGTCCATTTTCTCCCAAATACTACGTTGTGATGACATTTGCTTAGGAAACCAATAACTGCAGCTCCCCCCACCCAATTTTTATGCATTCTGATTGACTACATTTTATGGTCAAGGGTTAAAGACAATACTTCGCAAAAATTTGCATTTCAAATACAACAGACCATTTTCACTTTAAACAAATGAAAGATAAAATATTGAACTAACGTATTTTCCAAGTCATCTTTTTTATTAGTAGTGTTCTAAAAGGTGCGCCTAATCGCAACGCGCATTGAAAACGCCAAGCAAAGGGGGTAGGCGCGTAATTTAGCGATCCAATTTTCATTTTTCAGTGCCCTAATTGAAGAGTGAAGACAATCTCCCAAAGCTCCCAAAAATTCCTCTCTGACTGCAACATCTCGGCACTCTCTTACAGCGGTTGCCTGCTCGATCATCTTCAACAAACAATTTCCAGTTTTTGTATGTCGGTAAGTTAGGCGGAAAATGGGAAACCATTGCTTGTTGAAGAATTAGTGGATTTAACGGTTGAAGAATTTCTAGTTTCCAATTAAAAATTTAACTGTTGCTTGCTTGCTTGGTCGTCTTAAACTCTTTTTCAACTGTTTTTTTTTTTGTTTTTGCCTTTTTGATAGTGAGTTTATACTTTATAATATTGTCTCCATAGTGAGGGTTTATAGAAGTACAGATAATAAAAAATAAAAGAGACAGTGAGATTTTCTCTAGTGAGTTAACGGAGTTGTAAGCCTTGTGGATAATGAAAGAGACACTGGTTGATTCACAGTGAAGTCCACAGTGGAGTTTTTTCATTTTCTCTAATGCACTGTATACTATCAATTTTACCAATTTATTTTTCATATCAAATGGGATTGGTAGGTGGATAAAAGTATCATGAATTTTTTAGTGTATTTGTAATCATTATAGTATTGAATTGATTCACAAATTCGACATCCTTGATCAATATAATGTTTAGTATGTATAATTAATAATTATTAAATAATCTTTTGATTAAAAATTTAAAATAATATTAAAATAAACAAAACGCTTTTTTACGCATTTGCCTTGTCTAATCTTGCCTATCCCTTAGTTTGGGATCAACACATCACCACACATTATGCCTTTTAGAACATTGTTTATTAGACAAGTCATAAAAAAAAAAAAAAAAAAAAAAAAAAAAAAAAAAAAATTGAAGAACTAGCCTCACTAATTCAGTGTTTACAGAAACATTACGAAATGGATGACGACAAATAACTTCAAATGAAATCTTTTGTATCAGTTACTAAAATAAGATTATTAAAGGAAGTCGTAAAGCCCAACAACACTGGAAGTCTGGAAGAGAGAAGTGAATGAAAAATAGAAAATTATAAGCTAAACAAGCTTAACAAATGCAAAGAACAAAAATTCAGAGTCGTCCTTGCACAAAAGGCTCAGAACCTGCACAATCAAGAAGATGATAGAGATCCATGAACCAGCAAAAATATGGCTTTTATTACAGCAAGCAAATAAAGAGTATAAGAATCAACACACATTTTCAAAAGTGCATTATCGTCAAGAGTAATGCCATGTAGCTCCACTGAAATTACATCTCCAATTTAGATGACATTAGATGATAAGCTAAATAAAAATTGAAATTAAATGAATTATTTAATTCCACTTATCATTTAACGCCACATTAAGGTCACCTAGTCTGGAGTTACAATCCTAGTAGGGCTAAATAACATTACTCCATTGTCAATTAGTAATCCACTTAACCTTGATTTAAGTCCCCACGTACTCTCATATCGCTTTTTATATGATCATTAACAAATAATATTCTGGTTACAAATATTTCAAACTTCTCACATGATATGTAGCAATCAAAACCTCAAACAGGAACAATGCATAACTTCTTAAAATCATGTAAATACTCCAAAAAACTTGTTTAGGAACAATATATTTAAAATGATCAAAATGTAAGAAGCCAAATATTAATGCAAAATATACACTACTGAGTTTATTAGCGCCCATAAATGAACACTACAAGGTCCTACAAACAGAACTGTGATTGCATACTTGCACTAAGAAGCGAAGGAAAATCTTCCAAGGCCGTTAAGAGTAATATTCTCCATCGTATCAGAGCAAAAAGCTGCAAGAGAGTACAAGTTCACAAAATCTTCCACTTGCGCTCCACTGCTGTAGTGATTATTGATATGCAGTATGCAGCGCTCATCGGAAATTCAGAAACTGCAACAGACAGATTGTTAGATAGCCATGAAAACTTAGCAGTGTTAAGAGATCTACTAGATGTCACGATATACACGTTAAAACAGGTAAACTAAATACGAAAATCAAGAAAGAGAACACCAGTTATAGTGAATATCTCTGATTGTCATGACAATTATTGTACAACTGTATGAGACTTAAAAAGACTTGTTTCCTTGGGTAGCCAGAGTTGATAACCTATGTACCAATAGCAGCCAGCATAATGGAATCCCAAGTGGATGAATCATCTTCTTTTGAGACAATGAGTTCTTTTAGAGCACACATAAATTCTCTCTCTAGGGTGTAGTATGAAAAATGAGAGTGAAGTCATATGCACTGAAAACAACATTACAGCAGACCCTTGCACTGATGACCACGTCCAAGTAACATACATATTTATAATAATAACCAGATTTTGAAACAACTTGACAAATATTCTACTGAAAAACCAAAAATATAGACAACTTCTATATGGACGCTTGCAGCAGTGATTTAAAATTTCAAAATTTAATGGTACAGATGACAGGATAGAAACTGAAAATTTACTTACTTGATAGATAATCTTCTACATAGTCTTTATCAATTTTCCCATGGGCCATTGCTCCAACCTGTACACAAACCGTTTCACATAAGATACAAGTTTCAGCCAAATAAAAAAATTTGAGGGATCAAAAGCAGGTGTTTGCTGTACCACAAAAACAAGGTCCATGTCCCTCTCGAGGGTACCAACATAGTCATACATATCGACTAACTTTTCAGAACTGTGTGAGAAGCCTGAAATGCAGCAAAATCACTTGATTATTTTAATGGCAACAAAGGAGACAGAAAAAAACACCAAAAATAGAGACAAATATCACCTATTTTACGAGAGTTGATGGGTAAATACTGGGTTACAGGATTCTTGATGACGCGCAAAAGTTTTTCGCCCTTTCCAGCTGCAGTAATATGCAGCTTTTGAAGCAGTTGCACTGCCAAGTATTATCAATATAATTCAATTATTAATGGCACTATTCAATAACAGTTATATTAGATAAATCTCGGATAAACTCACCCATGAGACCAGAGAAGCGCTTATATGTCCTTGGCATACGTGCATGAGGTTTGATTTGAAAGAGAATACCTTGCTGTGTCCTCACATACAAAGCTTTCAATCTCCCACTTTTATTCACACGGCTATCTAAAATTGTCTGGATGGCCTGAAAAATTATCAACACATGGAGTTACAAAGAATAACCTAGACCTGAAAGAATATATCTCCAATAATAAAGCACATATACAATATGTAAGCTATAATTTTAAATTACATGTGCAATTTTTGGTTCACAAAAGGTAGGTAAGGAGAGCAGACTTCTAGGCTAAACTTGGACACAGGCCTCAAGGAATATCACTCTTTAAGATAAGATCACGCAATGGTTATTATATTTCCCTCATTTGGTAATCCAGTAAAATATGGGCAATTGTATAATTATTCAAGATATTAATGATTACCGACAGTATAAGTACATAATTACAATCATATTAGTTATATCTTCAGGAACCTCAGGTCCTCAACAATCGCCTCTCAAGTTCATGAAGATTGGGCACGTGAATATAAGCATCTTCCCTATCCACATCTTCTCCATCCCTACTAAATATGGAGAACAATATATATACATATACATACACACACGCACACAAACACACACACACATACATACATATTTGCTTCTATTTTTCATTTTCATTCTATTTTTTCTATGTTTTCAACCATACCAAAGCAACCTAGTCCCAATTCTCAACAGTAATATTAAACATGTAAAGTTGATAGAAAAAAGTGGCATCCAAAACAGCAGATGAGCTCTAGGTTTGGTGTAATGAGAAGATAGATACAAAAAACCAAGCAGCTCAACTCAATTAAAGCTCGTCCAAGATTGTTGGTGGGGGAATAAAGCCAAGGTTATCATCAGTTAAAAGTTATCAATAGAGAATATTCTATTTCAAGTTCAGCTCGACTTGTTTACTCTCCTAAAACTAGGGCACTAAGATGAGACAATCCCTGACAATTGAGCATCAAAGCAGTAATGAACCCAACTACAGTACAGTACTGTCAAAGATCCAAACATCACTTTTTATCAAAGTAGCAAAATTAAACATCGAGTTAAGAAAGCAGAATCAATAGTCATGGAAAAATAAAGCAAGATATGGACCAAACCTAAAACAAACCTGAAAAGCAATGTCTGGACGATATTCTGCCGGGTTCCGCTTATTCTTCATTAAATAATTCGCATGTTCATCAGAACTTAAAAGCTGATAACTCTGTAAAAACAAAAGAAACTCATGTGAATCAGTCAAGCAAAACTTAACAAAACATATCAAGAACTTCCTGTTTCCTCCATACTACCACCATCTATACAGACCTTTCCAACTTTCCCAATTTCCAGGGACGCCTTCTCGAGAATAAAAATAACCCCAGGCTTTTTGCCTGTATCGGCAGGAACAATGGGGATTCCGGGCATTTCATCAACAACTTCCTCTGATTTCTCCTTCTCTAACTCAGAGACCTCTGTTTTCGCTTTCTTCGGTGACTCAGGCATATCATTGTCATCTAATTGTTCAGATTCTTCTTCTCTATCATACTTCTCTTTCTTCTTTCGCTTTTGTCCCTTCATCTTATACGGTCGCACCATTTTCTATCCTCTTTTTTAGCTGGAACAGTAAGAATGGTTTTTGCTGTACCCTAACCCTACAGATAATACGTCAAACACAAAAACACCAGTTATAATATAAACAAGTAAACAACCGTATGACATTCCTAATTAAGCTCTCAAATTCTAAAATAAACATTGAAAAATTTAAAATTAACAATGTGCCGAGAAGACAAACCGGAATAATTACTGGCTGATATAGAAATACATACACGCAAACACACTATAATTTGCGTCTGCTTCTATAACTACATATATATAATATAAGCATGTATGTAAATTTTATCTGAGGAGAGTTGAGCTACATTCATACCCGGAACTGTGAGACTCTGAGAAACCCTAGCGTTCAATTGGGGAAAACTGTCAGCGAAAACGGAAAAATAATTCTGCTTTGGACCCTGGCCCTTTCCTTGCCCTAAGAGAGGCCCAAATATTCTATTAATTTTTTGATGATAAGCCCAAGACAAGCCCAATACCAAGTCTGGGAAAAGAACCGGGTTCCGTCTCTCTACTTAAAAGGGTCGGATTTCGGATTCTTTTGTAACTGGTCGAAATCGAATCGGTATTCCCGCTTCTATACCCCATAATAAAACTCTTCGGCAGAACAAACTGTACAACCGTTTAGTAAGAGCCATGACCACCAACTCAGAAAACCTTCCACTAATCCACCTCAGTCTGGATGTTGTTGAAACACATTGAAGAATTCATTTTCTAGCTACATTTTTGAGCTTTTTATCTATATATAAGCTCGAAACACCTGAAAAAGGAAAAAATAAATAAATAAAATTGGCGTACCAAAGGGAAAACTTGAAGTCGACCTCCATACATGGAGTGAAATTGTATACAGTGTCTGACAGTCAACGCTCCGCCACCTGAATCCCTCCCGAGAAGCAAAGAGCTCTCCGTAAAAATCCAAGTACAATGGATTGTCTTTTCTTTTGTGAACTATTCTTTCTTGATAAAATGCAGACTTTTTCGTATCAAAATTGAAATATTATCGATCACAGTAGATGTGGCTTGATGCTTACAATGGTTATTTGGAAACATTGTCTTCTTTTAATTAGTTTTGGGATAAAGGTTGGTTTTTGGCTTTATTTCATTTTAATTTACTGGATGCTAATACGCTTTTGAAAGTTTAAAAGAGATTAATATTGATACTAATTTTGCTCCTATTAAGTTTTTGTAAATGATCCGTTTCATTTTGGGTCTACTTCTAGATTAACAGCGAAGAGTGAATTTGATACAGGATTTAAGGTTTGAAAACGTGACTACTAGAATTAAGGCGATCCCTGATGACGAGTATCTCATAGCTTCAGGTGAATTCTAAATTTTGTTTCGTAACTTCTATCTTATATTTTTTTATGGGTGCACCTATGTGAAATAAGGGTTCTTTTTTAACTTCAGGTATTTACCCACCACAAATCAATGTGTATGAGTTGAAGGAACTATCTTTGAAGTTTGAAAGACAATTCGTATCCGAAATCATTAATTTCCAGGTAATTTTTTTTTTTTTTTTAAGTTCTCTAGAATTGGAATTTGATTGAATGAATGTGTTTGTTATTTTTACCTATAAAGTCCTTTTTGCAATTGATTAATTACATTCGAGTAGTCTTTTGTCAAAGTTGAAGAAGACCTAAAACAAAGATTCATCCACTTATCTCTTTATTACCAGTGAAGAAATGCACTGCTTCGTTTGGTCAGGAAAGTGAAAAGGAAGAAAGATGCATGCGCATCAATGGTCCAGACAACTATATTTTATCACGATATTGTTAAAAACTGAACGTTTGAAGTTTTGGTTTCTTTTTAATTATGGTATGAATGTTTATGCATGAATCTCTTAATGGACGTTTTCTTCCTTATTCAAAGTTTCCATTGATTCCTATTCAAGCACGACCATATTGCTTCATGAAGTATTATTTTCAACAAGTTTTGTATTGAAAAATAGACTTCTGTTGAAAGTTAATGAAGTTAAAATTTACTCCTGTTTCACATACTATATATTTTATGGTTCTTCTTATACATAGGTATAATTTTGACCTAGTAGGTACTGGATGATGACTATTCTAAGATTGCATTTCTCTGTGCTGATCGCTCTGTTTGGCTCGCTAAATATGGAAGTCACTATAGTTTGAGAATCTCAAGGTTCATTCTCTTGCCTTTGACAAATATAATATGCCATATATATGTAATTTATTGGTTACCAACTCCCAAAGTCTTTTCTTCTTGGTTTCTATGTTAAAAAAAAAAAAAACGTTTATTGAAGAGTAAGACTTAGAAATTGACAATTCAACATATTTCAACTGCATCATAAACTTTAGTGTGCTTTTATTTAGTGGAAGAACACACTTAAGATTGATTTAGAAGATCTTGAATAACATAATATAATTAAGCAGATTTGCTTATTATGATGCTATTTTTGCTGCTGGTGGCCAAAACATTTTTTTGTATATTGAAGCATGAGCAAGACTTGTACCAAATTCTGTATCATGCAATAGCTATGCAAAAAATTTCATTAGATTTCTATCAAGATGCGTCTCATGGCTAGAGTACGTAGTCATAGTTTGACTGCACTTCTTGTTAAGTAAGCTAACGTAGGTTTAGAGTATGAATTTCCATCTTCTATCGGATTAACTAGTATATTTGCTTTCCTGCCCGCTTTTACCTTTTCGTAATGTGTCATCAGTTTCACTTTGGCTTTCTTATTACTGATTATACAGTATGGGAGGAGACATTGCATATGATTGCTGGTCTTGTGACATATCTGTGTTGTTGCTTCTCCAGATCTATACAAGATAAATTTAGGCCAGGTTTGTCTTGTAGATATCTTCACCTTGTAGTTTAAGAAAAAATATTTCCATTTTTTTCATTTGGATATCTGACTTTGAGAATTGTGGTTGATAATATCATAAGCCCCAATGACTTTACTTGAAGAAATGGAACCCCAACCCCTCTCCACAAAAAAACAAAGAAGAAGGTGCACATAGACTTATTTATAAAACAACCTTTTTTGCAATTTCATTTGATATAGAGCTATCTTTTTCCCAGTCTTCCACTCACTAGGGAAAAAAAGAAAAGAAAAGAAAAGAAAAAGAAAGAGCACACACTGAAAGACCACTACCAACAAATTGAGCTCTACAAGAAACTTTCTTGCATTTCATTCTATCTAGAGCTACCTCTTATGAAAGGCAGATGAAATCAAACTTTTGTAACTACCTCAGGGATATGCATTTTGATTGATCTCTCCATTTTTCATGTACTCCGTGTTATTGCCACTCTTTTGCTGAGCACGGAGTTGGCCAATTTTAGGTATTTGTTTCTAGGAAAATTTAGAAGTTGAAGTTTGGTTTTTTAACCTTTTATATGATAGGACAACGCAATGCTTACAAAAACTAGGAGAAGAGAATGTTGAGACTAGATTAAGATAGTGAACCAAGTGGATTATTGAGCTCTATAAGTTATGAAGGCCCAAACTATTAAAACGTGGATATGTAGAGTTCAAAGAAAATAGATTTAATTAATTGGTTATTATAATGAGTATTTTTTGGATTTGTGTGTGCAATGATGCTTGCAAGTTTTATTTAGCTTTGCATTTCTTTCATGGGCGGAGTTGTGGTTCTTTGCCCCTTGGTTTTGCACCGTATTTGGGTTGATACACATTTGGTGCCAATGAATAAACTTGACCTAATAAAAGAAGATATGAGTTCTATGTTTGGACAGTAATAAAAAAAGTTTACTCTGTTCAATTTATGGTGGTTCTATTGAAATAAGGGTCTACCTTTGGTGGATACACTCTTCTATACTATGTTATTCTTTCTCATTAATATAGGAAATACTTTAAGAATGAAAGGTGAGATTATCTTAAATATTTTCTAGTTAAGCTTTTCAAAGTCAATGATGTTTCAGGGACTTTTCCTCTCCTCACTCACCACACAATCCCTAGCTTTAAATGTGGTCTCTTGCAGGTTGGCGGAATTTATTTCATCCTTTATGCCAGCTTCTTACTCTTTAATCATTTGTATTAGCTTAAACATTTTGTATGCATTTCTTGATTTGGCCTTGATGTGTAATTATTTAACTGTCTTCCTCATTTTCTTTGTATTTTCCTTTCAGCAACATCCATGGATTAGTTGCTGCTTGTGGTGATGATGGAGTTGTGGAGTGCTTTGACTAGGGTTGGCAACGGTTCGGTTATGGATCGGTTCGGCCAAAACCATAACTGCACCATAACCAAGTAAATCGGTTTGGTTCGTATCTCGGTTCGGCACGGTTCGGTTCAGTTAATAACCACGAAAATAAATTATTTTTTATAAGTTCATCAAATAAATTGATATAAAACAATTTATGAAAAAGTCAATGAAAACAAAAACACAATATTCCACACAAAAATGTAAACATTATCCCAATTTTCAATTGTAAAATACAAATTTAACAAACAATATTATAAATATAACAATACTAAACTTTTTCTTCATTCTTAATTGTTGTGTATCGAAGTTACTTGATTCATTCTTCCCCACATGTCTTACTAGCATAGATCAACCTCAAAGTTGATTCCTATATAGTAAATAAGAAATGTAAGTAGAGAATACAACGATACTACCTATTCCAAAATGGTCTCAACTAAGATTTAAATAAAAAAAAATGTACCTCTTGGTCAGATTCCTTCTCGCTAAACGTTACACAAGCTCTAGAGTATGATGAAGAAGTAGAATTTTCTAGACACAATAGAAAAAATTAACAATAAAAGGAGCCGTGCATGAGTTTGTGGTTTGTGGAGAGTAGGGTTTGCATTTATATACTATCATACTAAAACTATTATTATGGGCTAATGGTAAGTGGGTTGGCTGGCTGAGTCATGTAGATGTAATGGGGGAATTTTGTTTTGGGCTAGATAGAAAAGTAGTGTAAAGCACAATAATCAATTCAATTATTTTTTTAGCGGGTAATCGGTTCGATTTCAGTTCGACGGCGTAATTACCATACCCGCACCGCCACGAACCGGTTCATTAAAATAAAAATCATATCTGCCCCATTGCACCATCGGTTCGATTTTTTTACCCCATTCGGTTTGGTTAGCCATGGTTTTTGGTTTTGACGGTTCAAATTGCCATCCCTAGCTTTGACATGAGAACGAGATCTTCGGTTGGGAGGATAATGTTACCGTAAATAGAATTGGATATATTTAAAAAATAGATTATTTTTAGGAATTGTATTTATTTAGTTACCTTATACATTCAATGACTGTATATATGTATATACATAATGGAGAACATAATGGAAGGTAAGTTTTTACAGAAACTATCTCAATTGTTTGGTTCTTTTGTCATGGTATCAGAGATAGGGTTTTAAGCCTTACCTGCTGCAAATTTCTCTTCGATTGGATCTCTCTATTTCTAGTTATAGCACCAGTTGTCATCGTCAATGTGCTGGGTTTACGAATTCCAGCCTTTATTCTACGTATTTCGGCTCCAGTTGTTTCCTCTCGAGATTTTAGGCGGGTCTCTGCAGTTTCTCTCATTAGGGTGTGTATTCTGCTGCCTCTGTGATCGTTGAATA